AGTAGCTCCTGAGCACGCGAGCCCCTACTTATCCCAATTATGGCATTTTAGACGCATCCCTTCAACAGCGCAACTTGGCCATTAGACACTGTACCCTCTGTAGATACTTAGATGACCTTATTACAGTACTATGGTGGGGGGGTTTTCTTAACCGCTTAGCATCTAGACATGACGAGTACATATCCGCATGGCCTCTATTCCACTTCCTGGGCATCTCCTCTGGACGCGTGGAATTCTACGCCATACTACCGACCTCACGCAGTAAGCGACAACGGCTCTGATACGTCTAGATGCAACAACACAAACACTAGGCTCTATCTATAAAATGTTAAACATAAATACTCCTCCGTCCTCCGTACCGGTGCCTATCGAACTCTCTCTCTATCTCTCTTCTCGAGAAAACACCCTGGCTCTCTGTGTAGCTAAATCCAGCACACCTATATATTTCATTCTCCGCGCTCTCCGCTGGTAGTGGCGGCCAAACCCAATCAACAGAGCGCGCGTTCTCTCTTCTGTTAAACAAAAAAGAAGTATTTAAAAAAGCAAAAATCGTTTTAAGGGCCGGCGCGGTCCTTCTAAAGTATCGGCCATCTTGCTTTGGTGCACGTCTACAGGTTTAGAACGCCGCGAACTAGTTCCTATTAAGGAGTAATGAGCCGTTGAGATGCCGCGGTTTTAGTGAGATTTATCGGACACCGCGATGTGGTGCGTGCCGATACTCTATCCGCTCACGTGCGCAACCCGAGCGACCCAATATACTCTATCTCGATAGAACGAGAGACCGAGGAGCCAGCGTATATTGATAACACCAAGAAGAGAAGAATTCGAAATACATGATTATAGTATCGTTATAACAGTTCTCAGATGTACATGCATGCCTCTCTCTGTGGGTGTGTTAATATAACAGGTTGGTCGAGAAACTCTCCTTTTTTGGTTTTTACACTGGCCAGCATTCACATTTCGTGTATTTGCAAAACACCCGGGAGTTAGAGTGAGCAAGAAGTATTTTGATCTGTTTGTGACATTTGTAAATGCACTTAAACCAGCAAGAGAATTCAGTTGATAACGTCTCTTCACAACAATGGCGACCGGCGAAGGCGAAGGAAATTTTAACGACGAATAAAAGTCGAATTATATTTTCTCTCCAACAAATAGGGAGGGAAATATAGATAATCCCATCCTTATATCTTTAAGAAAAGCGCCTTAGGACGATATATGTTATGTAAGGAAATCTTATAATATTTATCTTCCCAACCAAGACGAATTAAAAGAAAAAGATGTGTATAAACGAAACAAATTAAACAGGTTCCCCAAAACAATAGAGTATCTAATCCCTTTTACATGGCATTTGAAGCTCCCCCCCCCTCAAACCTAAAAAAAAACATATAAACGAAAGAATACAGAAAAGAAACACGACCCCAACCCCTTTCCAAAAACAAAAGAGAGTGTCTAACGCCCCTTAAATGGTATTTGCAGCCACTAAGCGCTTCGTCGGAACCCCCTTGGAACCTTTGCTGCATTTCTACCTCCCACCCGTTCCTCCCTTCACCCCCACCGTCCTCCCCCCCGTCAGGCTACGGGTGAACAGCTGCTCGCTTGGATCAGGTGAGCTACAAACTCCCATTACCTGTGCATCCCCTTCCCTCCCCTCTGGTGGAAGTGCTTGAGAGAAAAAAAAAACAGGATTTTGGGAGGTCTTGCTGTATGTAGGCCTGTGTCTCTGTGTTTATGTTTCCCGTTTTCTTCGTCATATGTTTTGTTATGCTCTCTCTCTCTCTCTCCCTCTCTTTATCTTTTGTCTCTCTTATCCGCACCCTTTTGTTTGTCTTTTGGGGGGATTTTTGTGTTTTTAAAAATCTTTGATGGTCAAAAATGTGTTGTTTTTTCCTTTCTTTGTTGTTGTTTTTTTCTTTCTTATGGGTGGTCTTTCGTTCTCTGTTGCCTTGTTTGTGGTTTGTCATGCCTGTATTATCTCCCAAGACTTTGTTCTTGTTAGCTAGCACTGTACTTGTCATGCATTTGTTTTGCTTTGATGTTGTCCACGTTTGCACTTTCTATGTTCGTGTATTTGTTCTTTGTTAATAACGGATTCCTGTTATGTAGCAAAAATGCCTTGTTCCCTCTACGGTAATTTCGAACTTATCGAAAATGGGGTCATGAAAATAGCATGATTATCTGCACTTCGAAATTGTTCATGTTTTTGTCTTTCTTTCTTTTCTGTTTACGTTCTCCGGAATGTAAAACCATGAAAAATGATAATATTCAAGCATTTGTCACCTTTACTTTTACACAAACCTTTCCCCACCACCTTTAAGAAATACATTTGCATTTTCAGCAGACAATACCAGTTCATATTTACATCAAGAACAATGTTTGTCATATAATGGCATATTATTTCCCAGAACACTCAAAAAAGAACAAGAAAGAAACTAATTATAATAAATTCCCGACCTAACCCAAACTAACACAGCTTTGCCTGCCAGAATTAGCAACAATTTGCGGGTTGGGAAATCAGTTTTCTGGTTACGAATATTTTTTTCTGTTTTAATACTATATGCATAAGACTGTTTATACATGTGTACTTTTTATCATGCAATTATTGTCTATTTTTTTGTTCATTTTTCGAGTCTGATTATTTTGCTAAGTGTTTTGGGTAAGTATAAAAAAAAGATGAACCATGAAGAACGGAAAGCGAAAAGGTAAGTAAAAATAATGAAAGTAAATGAAAAATGGCAAGCCAGGTAAAAGTCAACAACTATTATTTCCTTTTTTACAATCTAATTGATATGAAGATGAACTATAAACAGACCAATACAATTGATATACGTAATAATAAGATTATATGCGTGAATGAAAATATGAATGGTAGAGTTAAAAGATTAATGAAATTTGGATGGATGAACACACACACACACACACACACACACACACACACACACACACACACACACACAACACACACACACACACACACACACACACACACACACACACACACACACACACTCATACACCCCCCCACCCACACACACACACTCATACATCCCCCCCCACACAACACACACTCATACACATCATACACCCCCCCCACCCACACACACACACACTCACACATCCCCCACATACACACACACACATATACATACTTACATAATCCAATAGCTCACTCACTCCATGTGTTTGTCCTTGTCTCCGTTGACATTGTTGACATTTAGTGATAAATGACCAGTTCGGCGAAATTACCACTCGCTATTTTCTTGTCTTCCCTTTTTTACTTTCGTTCTCCTCTCCTTGACGACTTTAATTTTCCAAAAGTTCGGAAGATTAAAACGATAAAAAGTCACTCCAGAAACGAAGGTACTAGCCTTGGGTTTATTTAATTAGATGTTGAGTTTTAAGTAAATATGATAATAGGTGTTCGCTAAGCAGGGCGGCTGTCGCTTGGCTCGCTGGCGAAACGAGACGGGCTGGGGGAGGTGTTGTTGCTCTTGTTGTTGTGTTTTTTGTTGTTGCCTATTTTAGTTTTTATTCTTATTTTTATTGTGTTTAATTTTTGTTTTGTTGTTGTTTTGTTGTTCTGAATCCTATTTTAGTTTTTATTCTTATTTTTTTATTGTGTTTAATTTTTATTTTCTACTGTGTTTTGTTATTATTATTGTTATTATTATTATTATGTTGTTGTTGTTGTAGTTATTATTATGATTATCATTATTCCTTTCTTTCTTTTTTGTTCCTTTTGTTCTGTTTATTATATTATTTTGTTATTGTTGTTATTATTATTATTATCATTGTTTTTGTTGTCCTGAAATCCTATTGTTCTTATTCTTATTTTTTTTTATTATTGTGTTGTGTTTTTATTATTCACTATGTTATTATTGATTATATTGTTTTCTGAATCCTATTGTTTTTAGTCTTATTCCTTTTAATATTGTTTATTATTATTATTATTATTGTTACTATCATCATCATTATCAATATCAGTAATGTTATAATCGTCATCATTGATATCAGAAATGTTATCAATATCATTATAAGTAATTATTATTGCTAACATTATTACCATCATCAGCAGCGGCATCAGTATGATTTTTACTCTTATTACTTTTAATTCGATTATCAATCATATTATCATCATTGCTCTCATTATCATTATCATTTGTAACCTATCTACACAGAAACATTTCTATCAGGGTACCCGACTACATAAAATAAAAATGTGAGATGTCGATAGATCAATAGATAGTTACATAGATAAGCAATACGTCTACTTACTGGTTACATTAACCCTTTATAAAACGTATTTTGGTAACTCACACTCCCAGGCCCTTGTGACTGCAGTTTTCCATCACCCTTTGCAAATTACAATATTAACCTCTGTGCAAAGGGGTATAGAAGCCTGTTTCCTGTGATGGTATTTTTATCTGGAAATTATTTGTGGTGGGGAGGAGAGAGGGGGGGGTATTTTCCTTTCCTCTGCCTTTCCTAAAACAGTGTTTAATAGGAGGGGGGATCTTCCTCTCTTCCTTATTGTTTATAAATATATGTGCAAGAGGGAGGAAAAAAGGGGGGGAGGATAGAGGGGAGAGGGGAAAGGGTAAAGAGTAAGTAGTAGGTAGTAGTAAGTGTAGTGAATAGTAGTAGTTATGTAGTAGTTAGTAGTAGTAGTAGTAGTATAATGAGATAGAGGTAGTAGTAGGTAGTAGTAATAATAATAGAGGTAGTAGTAGTAGTAGAATTAGAAGAAGAAGGAGGAGGAGGAGAAGGGAGAGAAGAAGAGAGGAGGAGGAGGTACAGGTAGAGTGAGGACGATTTTTAGATCAAGGGGTGGTGTTAGCCAGTCAATTCCCTTCGTCCTGTCCTCCCGTGCAATAATGTTAGGGGAGAGGCTACCATATCAGTTCCCTTCCTCCTTTCCTCTCTCCCTCTCCCTCAGTAAAGAAAGTTAGCTTGGAAATAATTCAATATGCTGCTTTAAGAAACAGTTTGTTGGACCGATAAATGTTAGTCTGTTATGTTCAGAGTAAGATATTCTGCCGGTTTGTTAGAATTGTGCGATGCCCGACCCAAAGAATATTCGTATACTTGACATGCATAGATAAAGAAATAGATGCATATTTATCAGTCTAGACATGCATATCAACCTGGCAAATAGATAGTTAAATGTATATCTATCAGATATATAGACAGATATGCCTTTATTTCTGCGTCTGTATTTATGAAAATTCATAGGGTCGGGCTTGGCACAATTTTAACAAACCGACTAACTGCCATGTTATGTTTGGTGGGAGCTGTTAGTGTTAGAGTGCAGATGTTAGTATGCTAAGTCTAATGTTTTTATGTTATGCTAGGGGATAAACGTTAGTTAATATAGAGCAAATCTTACTATCTTACGTAAGAAAGTGAATATTAGTTAATGTAAAGTCAAATGCTAATATATTTTGTTAGAAAGTAAATGTTAGTTGATGTAGAGCCAAATGTTAGCATGTCTTGTCAGAAGTGAATGTTAGTTAATGTAAATTCAAATGTTGAAATTACCTGTTAGAAGTCAAATGTCATTTAATCTTAAGCCAAATACTATATATATTTTTTTTACTAGAATGTGACAGTTAGTTAATATAAAGAGACACTTTAGTATATTGCGATATTACATCATAGCACTTTTCCCAAAGGCTTGATAATTCCCCTGTTGAAGTTCCACGTAAGAAACCTGTTCTGGCGTGCATATAAAGCAAATTAATTCTCAAGAACAAGTGTCCTCGGGCTGTTTTGATTATGGCTCTAAAAAAGTACCTGGTGGAATTTTGAATAGATATTAATTAATTGAGAAAACGATGAGGTTGTTGATGGTGTGAATGGGAGGGGTATGTTTGACTGGCTGACAGTCTCTCACTGTCAGCCAGTGTTCGTCTCTGTCTGTTTGTCTCTCTGTCTCTTGTCTGTCTCTCTCTCTCTCTCTCTCTCTCTCTCTCTTCTCTCTCTCTCTCTCTCTCTCTCTCTCTCTCTCTCTCTCTCTCTCTCTCTCTCTCTCTCTCTCTCTCTCTCTCTCTCTCTCTCTCTCTCTCTCTCTCTCTCTCTCTCTCTCTTCTCTCTCTCTCTCCTCTCTCTCTCTCTCTCTCTCTCTCTCTCTCTACTTCTCTCTCTCTCTACTCCTCTCTTCTCTCTCTCTCTCTCTCTTCCTTCTCTCTCTCTCTCTCTCTCTCTCCCTCTCTCTCTCTCTCTCTCTCTCTCTCTCTCTCTCTCCTCTCTCTCTCTCTCTCTCTCTCTCTCTCTCTTTCTCTCTTCTCTCTCTCTCCTCTCTCTCCTCTCTCTCTCTCTCTCTCTCTCTCTCTCTCTCTCTTCTCTCTCTCTCCTCTCCTCTCTCTCTCTCTCCTCTCTCTCTCTCTTCTCTCTCTCTCTCTCTCTCTCTCTCTCTCTCTCTCTCCCTCCCTCTCTCTCTCTCTCTCTCTCTCTCTCTCTCTCTCTCTCTCTCTCTCTCTCTCTCTCTCTCTCTCTCTCTCTCCTCTCTTCTCTCCTCTCTCTCTCTCTCTCTCTTCTCTCTCCCTCCTCTCTCTCTCTCTCTCCTCTCTCTCTCTCTCTCTCTCTCTCTCTCTCTCTCTCTCTCGTCTCTCTCTTCTCTCTCTCTCTCTCTCTCTCCGGGTCTTCAAGTAAACAGCCTTGCCTGACCTTG